CTAATTAGCAAAGACCCCAAGCACGTGTTTAACTTTAAGCATGTACTTTTCTTTCCCAGGACTCCCTAGAATTAAGGACTTTAACTGAATGGGTTTAGGGATATGCTTAAAGCTAAGCACGTGTTTAGTTGCTTTCTTGTGCTCTGGCTTTATTTGTTTTTACAGGAATAAGAGAAATGAAAGATCCTATTACAGATCAAACACAAATAAATGTCCAAACCACAGCAGGGAGGCTTTACTTCTTGGTTCAGAGCCCAATGAAGTCAATGGAAAAACACCCCAACACCTCAGTGGATTTTGGAGCAAAGTCCTCAGAGAACTGACGATGAACCCACTGCAGAAACCTGTTGAATACCTCATGTTTCTTTGCAAGGTTCCCTTATCTTGTATCCAGATGTTGCTAACAAGGGTTTTTATTAGCTGCTGAGAAGTACGAGAGCAGCAGTTTTTCAGATCTTAAAATCATGCACATACAGATGAAGTAGAAACAGTTTTCTCTGCAGTAACAATTGTGCTCTGTGGAGCTGCGAGTGTATTTCAAAAGTTCCCCAGTTCTTATAATAAAATCTCAGAATGGTTTGGGTTGGAAGGGACCTTAAAGCTCATCTCATTCCACCCTCTGCCATGGACAGGGACACCTTGCACTACACCAGGTTGTTCCAAGCCTCATCCATCCTGGCCTTGAACACTTCCAGGGATGGGGCAGCCACAGCTTCTCTGGGCAACCTGTGTCAGTGCCTCACCACCCTCAGAGACAAGAATTTCTTCCTAATCTCCAATCTAACCCCTCCCTCTGTCAGTTTAAAGCCGTTCCCCCTTGTCCTGTCACTTCAGACCCTTGTAAAAAAACATTTCTTGGTCCCACTGATCTCAAAGTGTTTGCTCTGTCTTTCACACAGTGCAGTGAGGTAAGTGTTGTCACACAGTTCCTCAGGAAAATGTTGCCTCTTTGTAGAGGGAAAGGTTTACACAACAGGAACAGCAGGTTCCTTTGAATAGCATTTATCTTTGCTGCCTTTAGATCTCTACAGTCTCTACAGCAACACCTGACTTACTCATTTGGATTCTTTTTAGGCAGGGAAATAGCCACTGCTTGAGAGCAATCTGATCTATTTTTGATTTTCATTTCAGGATGAGACAATGCTGGAGACTTCTCTGTTTGACCAGCTGAATTTCCACCCATACACCTGGATTTTGATCCTATGGCTCAGGCTGAAGCTTTCCTCACTTCTTCAGAGACCGTGCTAACCAAGGTCAGCAGAACTGCCTGAGCCATCAGCCATCACGCAGTAGGGAAAATGATCATGTGGCATCTTGTCAGGCTTGTCATGAAGGTAGGTGTCATTAGAAAGTGTTTCTGCCTCCTCCTTCTCCTCCTCCTGCTTGGAAGTCATTTGGGTCACAGTACCAGGGCCATGGGACAAGCTTTGTCCCAGCTGGGGAGCAGAGTGCCCACGAGAGTCTCTGGAGAACTGGTAAGCAGTTTAAGGCTTGCTAAGCTGATATTGCTTCCTCTTCTATTATTACTTGTGTTTACCAGGTCAAATTGACATTGGTGTGCAAGGATGTGCTGTGGCCACATCAGAGCACCCATCCAGAGTCTCTGGGAGATGGATTAGCTGTCAGTACGTGCTGATGTCACTCCACTGGCTGTTATTGCTGGGTCAGAGTGACACTGATCTACAGTGATGAGTTATGGTCACACCTTCATTTTGCTCTGTCACTTCAGGCCTTACTTTCCCATCAGTGAAAAACTTCTGGTGGTATCCACTGACAGCAGCTCTGGGGTTTGGTATGTTGGGAAAGGGTTCTGTACCAACTGCCAGCACAAGGGAGTTGTCCTGTTCTGAGTTTAATAGAGTCAAAGAGAATAAAGTGATATTATTTGCAGTTTGGATGCTCACTGGGTGAGCCCCACAAAATCCCATTAATGTTTTATTCATGTTTGGTATCTTGGTCTTTAGCTGATTTTAAAGCTAGAAAAAAAAATGCCAGTGTTCACTAAATCCTAAAATGCAAAACTGAAATGTTGGACTTGGTCTTTCTCTTCCTTCATGGTTCAAAGATTGCAGGCAAAAGGATTTAAAGCATTTTCTTACAATAACACCAAACCAGAGCCTGGCTTTTAGATATGTATTTCTGTTGTGTGCCAAGACCTGTCCTTTTCAGTCATTTCACAGAACTGGAAGACACAAATCAGCAGTTAGATGTGCAGTACTAGTATTCTAATTATTATTTCTACTTTTCTCATGATTATGATCACAGGAAACATTTCTTACTTGTTCCCTGGATGAATTATTTCTCCTACCTAACCCCCATCTTAAATTTTTTTGTAGTCCCCTGAATAGAATCTGCAGTCCTTAGTAGCATTAAAAAAACCCAGATCAACCCATTGACTTGAAAGGAAAATGTTAATTTCTTCAAGGAGGGTAAAAATACTTCTATTGCTCAAACTTAGGTAATTAGACTGAGGACTTTCTCCAAAGTAAACCCTGACAATCAAACAATCATCTTTGGCTTTTGCACTGCATGGAGTTTCTCTTACATTGTTAAATGCATTCCATGTTTCAGTAAATGACACCAGGCTCACCAGCAGTGACTGAGTGATTAGTTTATCATCCTCTTAGTGCAGCCATCTAGATCTTTAACTCTTTAAGCAGTGGCATTTAAGTCTTGAGAACACCCAGGATCATGCCTGAGGCTTTAGACATTCTCAATTCAAGCAAATCTTGGATATCAAGTGAAAATGAAGAAAAGAAAGTAGGTGGTTGCATTCTGATGACACTTTAAACAAGTCAGGTAAGTTAAATTGCTAATAAACACCCTTTTTTTTTTTTTTTTTTTCCCCAGAAGAAACCAATGCCTCTTTCTTGGGACCATTTAGGTCATTGGGTGTTTGAGCAGCATAAAATTACAGAGGAAAATTTAACAGCATACAACGAGACTGAAAAGTGACAAATCTGCATTTCCTAAGACCCAGGGATGCAGGGTAGGTTTTTTTTGGCTGGATTTACAATTCACATCTCACGAGCCAGTAAAATGAACAGTTTTGCAAAAGAACTGATTCTAAAAAAATCATGTGAGCTGAAACATACTGAGCCAATGTCCTTGTGCTAAAATCTTGCTCGTGCAGGGATGTGTAAGTACATAAAGCTTGGTAGCAACAAAAGTCTTTGGAGAATGAAGGGCTTTACTTACTTACTTACTTTGGAAAAGAAAGGTGCAGGAGGATTTTCAGACAGAAGGAAAAGACTTTGACCTGTGAGCTGCTGCTCAGCATCATGGATCTTCATCTATCATCTGATCCTGCTCAGTAACACGAACCAGATCACTCTGTGTGCCCTCTGCCATGGGAGACATGGAGCTGCTCACCCCGTAGAGACAAAGTGCTTTGGGAGCCCTGTTGCTGGGAAGAGTCTGAAATGTAGGAACAGAGCATTTACATGCCTTGAGCAACAGAACAGAGCCCAGCCTTTGCTTAGTTTTTATTTTAAAAATAGCCAGTGGACATTTATTTTAAAAATGTCCACTGGCTGGGGTTTTTTGTTTCGTTCTGGTTGGGTTGTTTTTTTCAGACTGGACTTTGAGCTTTGCTGGTTTGGGTGAAAGGAGTTTTTGCTCAGGAGGGTGGTTCTGTGTGGACAGGGAAGGGATGATGTGAGCTGAGATAAATTATGTGTTCTGGAAAGGGTGGAGAGTGGGCTGGGAAATACCCCTGGGCAGCAGAGCTGTGCACCTCCTGCAAGTATAGACAAACTGGTTAGGCCTCCAAATTTCTGGAGGCTCTTGTTCAGCCCCCAGATCATAGCCATTCTCAAACTTGTAGATGTATTCAGGCACCTGCTTCCAGTGCATCTCCCCCAGCAGAAAACAAGATGGAAGTGATCCAGTTGTGCCATTCATTTCAAGGCACCTCCTCTGTGGTGGTCTCCTCATGGACTCTTGGTGACTTACCAGCTGGGGAACCCTTGAAAAAGGAATGGTTGGCTGTTCTGGTGGCTGCTAGTGGTGCCAAGAGAGGGAAATGAACCACATGGCAGCTTTGCAAGTCCAAACTGCCTCATAGAATCCCAGAATGGTTTGGTTTGGAAGGGATCTTAAAGACCATCTCATTCCATCCCCTTGCCATGGGCAAGGACACCTTCCACTATCCCAGGTTGCTCCAACCTGGCCTTGGATCCTTCCAGGGCTGGGACAGCCACAGCTTCTCTGGGCAACCTGTGCCAGGGCCTCCCCACCCTCAGAGGGAAGAATTTCTTCCCGATATCTAATCTAAATTTATCCTCCTTCAGCTTAAAGCCATTGCTTTCTTGTCCTGTCACTTCATGCCCTTGTTAAATGGCACCTCTCATGGCACCACACTGAGAGAGATTCTGTCAAGCCTGACTCAAGACAATACTCATGGACTCTAAGTCCTCTTTGACCTTCTGATTTTATCCTCTGCTCCTCAAATCCTGCCTTAATCCACTTCATTTTTATCTTGCAGTCTCTTAAGCCCCAACCCCACTCAGCTTCTTTTCTACCCTTCCCATGCTCAGCGTGGTCTGGAGTGGATGGACAGCAGCATTTCCTGCCCACTTTGCCTCTGCACCAAGTGTTATGTAGGGAAGGAATGATGGGATATGAAGTGACTTGCTGAGGGCTTCTGGCGGCAGGACAGGTGACTTTTGGGCAGCCATGGACTTACCTCCGTGTTGGGTCTCTGTGAGGAACGTTTGTAAGCTGATGCCAATTTTATAAATGACATTGCACATTTGCTTTCTGCAATATTTCTTCGAATTGGGGTGTGGTGGTGCACACAATACCTGGTTCTGAGGCTTGTTGCTCTATCAGGTATGTGTACAGAGGGTGGGAAAAGGCAGCAGAGTCAGCAGGACAGAGGTGGAACAGTCAGGAATGCAGGGTGCAACCAGGGGAACAAACAGGTCCTCAGGGAAATAGCTCTGACTTAGTTCTGCTTTCCCTGACATCCAGTGTGCCCAGAGGGCTGGGACTGGGAGACACCAGTGCTATGCTAAGCCCAGATCCTGCTGAAGTAGGAACTGCTGGTTTAGACCCTCTGTCCTGGGACTTTTGTTCAAAAATCTAGGTTTAGGGCTGTTTCTCTTCACGTCTGGGGGATGCTGTGCACCTGCCAGGTGTGTCATTCTGGGGTGTCACTGCAGACTAGTGCGAGCCTGTCATGACACCTTGGGGCCTCTGGCTTCGGTCCTGTTTTCTAGAATTGCACTTGGCCTTGCCTTGGCCCTTTGCCCAGACCGAATTTGCCTTCTTGGTTTTCACTTCTTTCCCATATCGATTTTCTCTCCTGCTCTGTCTTCCTGCTGATCTTCTGGGGTCCATAAACTCTCTGCCCAGGTGGAGCTCTGTGGGGGTGAGGACCCCCTCACTTCCGAGGTCCCTTCATGTGTAAGAGGGAGTGAGATGTGGGATGTCTCCAGACTTGCTCCCTTTTTGCCATTTCAGGTTTTTTCCCTCTTCAAACTGGCTTTTAGGTATTCTTTTCCTAAAAGTCCCTTTTCTCCTCTTTTTTTTTTTTTTTTTGAACCAGTTCCTCAGTTTTATCCCTCCGTAAGGTGTTTGGTGACTGGTATTTTAAGAAATAAAAGAAGTGTAGATCCTGAAAACATCCTTTAATAGAAAGGCTGGTTTGCCTGTGGGATTAGACACGCACGGAACACACGTACAGCGCTGGTTTGCCCACATCGTTTGGATAAGGTATCAGGGAGGACAGACTGTCTTTGCATTGAAACCTGCAGGTCAAGAAATTGGCCTCCCTTCAGTTCACGGGCTGCCAGCCAGTAATGTAAAGCCCTGATGGCTATTTCTGGAAAATGCTGGAAACTACAATGTGTTCAATCTCTCGTTTCCGGGCATGGTCGGTTTTGCTTCTTCTTCCCTTCTTCTTCTTCTGCCATGGATGAGAGGTGAATCACCGGGTGTCTCTGCATGATGGACAGGGCGGTACAACCTTTGTTCCAAGTGCTGTAAGGGAGGGATCATATGGAGTCTCCATGTCATGTTACTCTTCCAATATGTTCCCTGGGGCTGGAGTCCCACTGAGATGGTTTGAAAGCCTTTTGTTTGTCAGGTTGGAATTTGAGGACCTGTTTAGAACTAAAGTTTATTTTTTATTAATTTCGGAGAATGGTGCAAAATGCTCTTGTTCTTCCAGAGTGGAGGCTCTGACATGCCTTTAATTCTAATTGCCTCCATGTTTTTTAATTACTCTTCACTGTTTAGCATATGCTTAGCCACTTGGATAAAGTAGGTTCCTGGTGATTCAGCCACTGCCACAGAAGCACAAAGCTGAACCTAGACCTTCTGAAGTCCGAATTAACTCCTTCATCATTAGGCCAACCTTCCTTTAGGCATCCCAGTACTTGCAGCACTGCACCAAATCTATGGCCTTTGAACTTCCCAGGTAGCTAAAGTCCCCCTTTGGGCTGCTGAGTCAGTGCCTGTGTATGATGGAAGCAGTGAAGGGGAAAACAAATAATTGTTTATTTAGAAAAAAGAGAAATTAAATCAAGTTTTGCTGCTGTTGGCACAAACTGTGCCCTTGCTCAGGTGCTTTTGGGTCGTAGCTGTTTGGGAGAGGAGGTGGGCTTTGATTCTGCTTACACTGGTTTTTCTTTGCCCCAGAAGGAAGCAGAGCAGGTAACAGTAAGTAAGAATGTCTCTACCTTGAAAATAAACCCAGCTAACACCTTACTCGTTAGCTTGCTTTATCAATTATAGAACAGAGAGCCTTGACGTGCTGTCATTAAGTAGGTCCTGCTAAAAGGTTTGTCAGGAAGGACTGCAGCTGTGTCAGGGGAGGTTTAGGCTGGATATTAGGAAAAGGTTCTTGCCCCAAGGCTGCCAGAGCTCCAGGAGTGTTTGGACAATGCTCTCAGGGACAGGGTAGGATTGTTGGGGTGTCCTGTGCAGGGCCAGGATGGCCCTGGATGATCCTTGTGGGTCCCTTCCAACTCAGCATATTTGATGATTGTATGAGCAGGAGCCTTTCCTTCAGAAACCATCTTTTTTGTGTCTGTGGGAGGCTCATGCTCTGCTCATCCACACCCACTGTGTAAGTTTGATCAGTGAGCACTTTCTAAGAATGATGATTAATTGTGAGTATGCACCTTGTCACCAGGCAACGGGTACAAACAAGCCCCACCAGTTTATTATTGCTGAAGATGGAGGCCACAGGGCATATCCATGTGTCCCAACAGGGAGCCCATGGCAGAATACTTCCTCTCTGCTTTGAGGTGAGGATGTTCACATCAACAAATTCAAAATTCATCCACGTGCTGATGTTTCCCAGCACTTGCAGTAACATCTGCCTGTAAAGTCCTTTGCTATTGCTGGAAGTCTAATAGAGCTGGTGTGAACTGTTTCTGCAGCAGATGTCCTGCTCTGCTTATTTACACCTTGGAGTAGTGTTTGAGATCATTGAAGCTTCTGCTGATGGCAGATCTCGAGCTACAATTAAAGGGACGAAGACAAATGTCGGCACCCCGCGGTTGGGTGGAAATATCAGAGTCGCAGCAGGACTCAGACAGAGCCACATATCAGTACTAGAGACACACTGGAGTGGTTTGCAAGGCCAGGGAGCTGCCAGCACTTGTGGTATTCTCCAGAAGTATTCATGACTCATCAGATCCAAAACGAATCTGCTTATCTCCGATGGCCATATGGCCGGATGGCGCTCGTTAGAGGAATGATGGTCTTTATTAGTACCAGCCACAACTTCAGAGCAGGAGGAATGTGTTCTTCGCCTTCTGGAGGTCTCCCTTGCTTCTCAGGGATGGGGCTTTGATGGAGTGGGGAGTCATACAGTGAATGTGGGCTAAAGGTAAGGATTCTTTCCAAAAGCTGCATGAGATCAGTGCGTGTTCTTCTTGTGACACCGACTGAGGAAACCAGTCGATGTGTAGATGATTTTAAAACAGATGTGTTTCTAACACACTTCAGGAGAATGTTCACAACAGACCATTAAAATGGCTCTACCTTCGTTTCATGAGTTGTGTTGCTGAAGCACTTCCTAATCACGGAATTCCAGGATCATTAAGGCTGGAAAAGAGCTCCAAGATCATCAGGTCCAACCTTTGACCCATCACCACCTTGTCAACTAGACCGGAGCACCAAGTCATTTTTTGAACACCTCCAGGGGTGGTAATTCCATCGCCTCCATGGGCAGCCCATTCCAATGCCTAACCACACTTTCCATGAAGGAATTCTTCCTGGTGTCCAACCTGAAAGAGCCTCCAACCTGAAAGAAACCTCCTAGTTTTGAGGCACCAGCATCTCTAAAGGAACAACATTTACCAGCAGAGACCTCAGAGTCTTGCAGCAGAAGACAGACACTCCCTGTATGAACATTTCTAGCCTTGCTCAGTCTTGGGGATCTTTGAATAGTGACAAAGTGAACAAGTCAAGTAACAGCAATTTAAGGTTCTCCCTGCGTGGGACACTCAACCTTTTAACAGTGTTCTTCAAACAATAAAAATCATCCTTAAAACCAGGAAAGAGCAGACAATCCTACTGTTTCGACTGCCATGTGTCTGATTACCAAAGACTGCCTTTTTAGAACTGCATTATTTTAATGTTCCCACACAGTGTTTTTGTAGGGATTTGCAAAAAAAACCCAAAAAACCAAAACCCTGTTTGGAATAAAACAGCAATGCTGAACCTGATTCTCCTCTTAGCTCAGGAGTGGTTCTAGACGTGGTCCTGACACCTCAGCAGAGACACTTTAATGTAAAGCAGAAATAGAGTCCAAGCTGGGCCCAGTCCTGTGTTTTAGGAGAAGTATGAATTTATTTATTCAAGAGGAGGCAGAAAATTCTGGTAGAACAGGCCAGCTCTGAAGCACTCAGAGAAATCATGAAAATCTCAGAGTGGTTGTAAAAAATGTTCCTTTCACCATTCAAGCAGCTGCACTTGTTTTTACCAGTCGTAGTCCAGCTCTTTAGTGAAGAGCTACTTTGGAAAACATAATCCCTTGGAGTTGTTTACTCAGTTCCCTTTGTTTTAATTGACAAGCTTAGGCAGCTGAAAGGAAAGGGTAGGAGGGAATTGATCTGAGCACACTTATGGGCATCCTGTAATTCATGTCATTAAAACGTCTCTGACATATGCCTTTATTTATTTATTTATGGTTTTAGGCTTGTTTCTGCTCAAGCACAAATCTGGTGAGACAAGTTCTTTTATTTTTTTTTTCCTCAAGGCGGGTTGTTTGCAAACTTTAGAGCCCAAAAAAAGGTGCAGCTGCTCTAAAAATAACATAGGATGCAAGAACTGGTTTGGGAAGGTCCGAGACCAGAGGCATCTCCTGAAATGCTGCCATTAGAGGAGAAGTTTTCCTTGTAAACAGAGCTGGCCTAATTTCTAGAGGTGCTGAACATCGACCTGCAGTGCTTGTTGGTAGGTCCTGAGCGCACAAAACCTGGAAACGGGTCAGGTGTGTGTGGCTGGGATTTTATCGGGAACACGTCTGGGCAAATCCACGATAACCAGGTTGAAACAAAAGAGAACAAATAATTGCCCCTCAGCTGGTGACCTCTGTGAGCAGAGCTGGGCACTGGGGCTCCAGGAGACCTGCGGGTTCCTGGGCTTCTTGCTGCCACTGACAAAGTCTTCTGTCACGGCCAAGGTCTGCATAGGATGAATCACCTCTTTGTCTGGCCATTCTCTGCAGGGTGAGGTCCCCAGTGACCTGGTTCTTTGCTTCCAGAGGAGACCAATGGTCTTGCTGTCCAGGTGCAGAGATTCCCAGAAGGTTTTTCACGGAGGACAGAGAGGAAAAAACCTGGCTGCAGAACCCGAAGTAGGGCTGGGACCGGATCACCGGCAAGAACCCACCAACCCCCCCTTCACCCATGTAATCAGAGGGAGGTGAGCCTTGCCTTGAGCACAGACACAATGTTTCTATTTTTGATGTCCTGGGTCTTTAAAGTTGCATCCACCGCTGAATTAAGCAGTGTTTGCTTTTCAAACCTTCCACATTTGTATTTTTAGCTCCGTTTTGGCATCACTTTTTTTGGTTGGAATATATAACACACTGGGTTGTTTAGTGTGCCTGGACCGAGTTCAGCCGATGTGTAACTCCACGGGCTGGAGCAGAAGCTCCGTTCAAGGTGAATTACACTCTATAGGGCTGAGGAAATACAGCTTCTGTAGAAAGGCAGCTCGGCTCCCTCGGTAAATGCTACACTATTTCCATCCACGGTTATTCCTTTGTGGTTTGGGTTATGTATTTACATTTTACGGAATAAATACTACAGCTTTCCCCATGACTAACACTTCTTAGTAACCAAGGAGCTACTCAAATACGCTCTTGCCTCCTACGAGAGCCCAAACCACACTGCTCTGCCCTGGCTCCCTGGCCCCAGCTGGCCACCTCCTCGCAGGGCACGGTTAACCAGCGTTACATAAGCGAATTTTGGGATCTGGGTTTGACGGGATGGCTTAGGAGAGAGCAGGCACTGGATGCCGCGGGACTGAATTTCTCAGGGACAAACGTTTCCAGCACGGCCGCTCCCTGATCCCAACAAAATCCGAGCAAGGACTTCGGACAAAGAGCACAACTGCTCCCACAAAGAGGGAGCCCGTTGCTTTTCCCGATCCAGAGGTCTGTTTTAGAGCCATACAGGCCCTCGTGTAAACTTTGTTTATAGACTGGAGTATTTTCAATGAAAATGTTATTTAACTTTAAAAAGTTGCACAGCAGCTACTCCCAAAATTGTTTTCACTTGTTAAGAATAACACACAGTGTGATACGTTTGAAACGGCGATAGCAATATTTCACAAATTTTGATGGATTCATAGTCCAAATACCTTGCTAACAGATGTTTCTTTTAAACTCAGAGTGGTATAGGAATAACTCAGAGATATTACCGTGTCAGCACTGCCTTTTATCTGTGCGTGTCCTTTCGGTGACATCCCTGGGCTTTTCTAATGCATGGGTCAGGTCTGAGCTTAAAAAAAAAAAAAAAAAAAAAAAAAAAGTGAAATATGAAAAGGAGGTGTCTGTGATGGGATGGTGTGTGAGCTCTGGGGCAGTGCTGGAAGGACGCCGAGGTGCTGGTGTGGGCTTGCTGCACACTTGGGCACGGCAGCCCGGTGGTTTGTGGCCACGTGGCTGGTTCACAGTCATCGTTTCTGAGCTGGTTTTTGGTTGTGGTTAATTGATGAGCTTTGGAGTTCCCATGGCCACTCCACGACCACATCTTTTGGTCTCATAAATTAACCAGCTGTTCTCACCGTGGGTGACAGTTTGCCCAACACAAAGGGACACCCCAGGAGGGCAAAGGGGCAAGATTCTGATTGCCCTGGTGGAGTTGGCTTCATTTATTGTGGGGTGGTTCAGTCTACTCCGTGTGTCCAAAACATGTGGCATCCATCACTTTTCATTAGGGTGTCCTCCTCTGGAGCTGCCTTCTCCACATCAATCCCAGTATGCCCAATCCCCATCAATCCCACAATTGTTCATACATCAATCCCAGTATGCCCAATTGATGTGCCCTACTGGGAGACCAGTCTGTCTCCAGACTCCACCTGGGAACAGTCTCAAGCCTTGGGATGTCTGGCTCTTAGTCTCAGCCCCAAAGTTGGCCCAGGGCAATGCTGGGGTTGAACTGTGGGGCAGGGAGCATCCTTCCTCCTGGAGATCCCTCTGGAGCAGCCAGCTGTGGCCTCATACAGCCCTTGGAAAGGTGCCTGCTGCACATCCAGGTGGGAGTCTGGGAACCCGGCCTGGTGGGAAGAGGGAGAGAGCTATGCAGGCAGCCAGGGAGGGAAGGGGCAGGAGAAGGATAAGAAAACCTGGATGGTGGGTGGGAACCCAGGGCAGGGAGCAGGGATAACCCCCAGGCCTGGCAGCGGGCTCCCAACCGCGGGGAGGGGACTCTCGGGTGGTGGGAGCACAGGAGGGACCCTCTCTCTGCTGCCGTCCCTTTCCCCGAGCAGCTCCACCTCGTTCCCAAGCGCTCCCTCCCATCTCCTCGCGGGAGAGCCGCTTCCCGAGCCCCCCTTCCCAGACCGGTCCCTCGGGGAGAGCCTCGCGGTGCCCGCACCTCCCGGGGGACAGCGGGGCCGGGGCGGTGCGGGAGGGTCCCGCGGGGATGCACCTGAGCAGGGCGGGGGATGCGCGGGGGTCCCACCGCGCCCGTCCCGCGGCCCCGCCGGGGGGTCCCCGCTCTCCCTCGCGGGCCGCGGGCGGGGCGGTGTCGGGCCGTCCCCCGCGGGGCCGGGCCGGGCCGGGGGCGGGCCGGGGGCGGCGGGCCGGGCCGGGCCGGGCCGGGCTGGCGGCGAGCGCGGCTCCACGTGACTGCGGGGCCGGCAGAAAACCGGGGCCGGCGGCGGCGGCGGCCGCACTGCGCCGGGCGGCGATCGCGGGAGGCGCTCGGCAGCCGCTGCCCCGGGGCTTTCGG